AAAGTCTCATCGTCAGACAACATGCCCATATACGGATTAAGATATTAATGATTGATCTGTGTGGCCTAGCTCATGTGCTGCTTTTTTCGTCAGTCAAAGAGCATTTGCTCATCATAACTTAGTTGTCTTTCAGTGCTACCTTCAATTGTTTTATGTAAATATGGAATAGTAGAATTACCTTAAACGACCGTCTGAGCTTTCTCTAGTGGTCTCATTCTCTCTCTGTCTCTCTTCTCTCTCTCTCTCATTCGATCTCTTACTACTCGCACAGTCAATTTATTTCTTAAGCTTTTCTTCTATTATTTCAGTATTCATGTTTCTCATAATAATAGCACTTACCATAATAGTCTTGAGAAAGGTGAACGCACAAGACCTCTGTCTGCAAGCTTCACGCTATCCCTTCAACCGTATGACGCGAATCAGTTTAACAACCACATATTGCTCGATCGTTCTATAATCATCAAACAATCATTCTGTTTTTTTTCCAAAATTTCATTTTCAAACTTCCACAAATGGGATATTTATATTTGCGAGAAATTCGTCATTCAATGATGAAATTATGAAATTTCGGTTATTGAACTGTTGTCTCGGGGAAAAGCTTCTTGTTCACACATATTTCCTCATATTGTACTGTCTATTGGCTACACTTCTCTTAACCTATTCAAGTATCGAATGACCTCTGGCTCAATTTCGATCTGAAAAGAAAGCCAGCTGAAGCTTCTGCTTCTTCAGCATCTTCTTCATCTTCGTCTTGATCGTCGTTTGTTACTCGCTTTAATCTCTTGTCTTCATCATCCATACATTCTTTTTATGTCATGCAAGACTTTGACCGGCTGTCTGTCTATGTCCTTTTTAGGATCTCTTATAAATCCTTTTCAAGCTTTATATTATTCTATAGATGTTTATGTGTTAGATATTGAGTTTTCGACACATATTTCCGTCTAACCATATAACACATATCACGCATCTAGAATAGCCCTGAATGGCATCATCCGGAACAATCCGAACCATCTGTCGAATTCGGAAGGCCGGATGACTCTCGGCTCTTTTCTTGCTATCGTCCTTCTGGCTCCAACGACTACATACATCCATTTCCCACTCTCTTTTCTTCTCTTTTTTCGTTCATCTCTCAATCTAGAGTCTCTCCCTACTTACATGAAGCTTGATGTGTTCGTTTTTTTTTCTTCTTGTCTTCTTTAGTTTTCCTCGTCTTACTTTCATTGCGAACTGACGAATTGTTCAGAAGCTTCAAAAGCCCCATCAAGCACAGCTGTGTTTCCTCAAACTATCTTTCCAAACATCATCGTTTTTTCTTTGTTCCAATTGTTCCATGAATACCCCTGAAGCTGTGTTAGAGATGAAATACTAAAATGGAAATTTCTTTTGATCAGCTGGCATTGAAACATTCACATTGTGCATACGGGCAAAGCAAAAGCAAAATCAAACCAAAAACTCAATTCAGAATTCTTTTCGACTTTATATCCACTTTTTTGAGTCATAAAATATCCATTTTTTCTTATTCTTATATGAAAAGCTGTCTGTTGAAGAGAACGGGGGGATAAAGAAGACGAAGAGAGAGAGATGTAACTGCGTTTCCGGAGAGCTTTAAGTTTCTGCTTGATCCTTCAATAGACTTTATAAAGTAAATAAGACATAGAATAAAAATGAGAAGAGTTCCACAGAACTTGATTGAAACTTCCAAAAAAGGAGAAAAAGCTTGAAAATGAAATAGAACGTACTGATCTTTAATCACTTTCTCTCTATAAGACAATGCTTGTGATTGTTAAGGTGCTTCAAGCCCATCACTTTACTCATCTCTAACAAAAAAAAGCACAAAATTATATTAATAATTGTAAAAAGAGAATGTTTAAACACATTCATATCCTTTGTTATTCATTATTCATCATGCTTCATCTTCATATTCTCTACGTATTCCCATATTTCTCTTCAAATATTTCGTAACCAGATGTAGCTCCATATATGTGCTCTGTCTATCGTCCTATCTCATTTCTTTCTCTGTCATTCTCTCTCTCTCTCTCTTCTTGTATACATATATCCTTTACTCTCTCTCTCACATTTGCAGAACGTAAAACATTTGCCTGCGGTCAAGACAGCTGCTACCCTTTTTTGGACGTGTCTTTCTTATTTTTTTGTTTCTTCCGGAGAATTAAGACAGTCAACTCCTTGTGCTCCATTTTTCTTCTACTACTTATGGTTTACGAAGCTATTGGCATAAAGCTTCAAAAGGAGCAGCTGTAACTACACTTTGACTTATTATATGAAGAAAGCAATCAAAAAAGAGAAAATGCAAAAGGAAAAAAGGCTCTTCTTTTCGTAAGATTGATGTTATTGGATCATGCAAAGCATTCAATTCTTCTTGAGCAATGCGTTCCCTTTTCACAATGTTTAAGTTTTTCCTCATCTCACTTTCGCAAAACAAAAATGAGTGACGAAAGAAAGAAATGATGTTTGCATACGTGGCGCACGTGAAGTCAATCCACGTAAATTACCCACGCGTCGCTCATTGTTACTTTACCAGGCGTGAAGATCGGTTGCTTATCTACACACTCTCTCATACCATCTCTTAGTTTTTTTCTTTTCACAATCCATATCTATCTCTGTAAATCTCCTCATTTCTCTATTTCTTTTCTTCTCCCCTTTTTGATATGATGGCTTTCTAACTGCCCACCCATCATGCCCTTCATCGTCACTCCTGTTAGCTCCGCCCATTGCTGGTCAGTCCCTCCTCCTTCGAGGTCCGACCGGCTGGCCTGAGTCAATCATCCTGCCCCTTTGCATCTCTCTCTCTCATTCTCACTTATTTTCTTCTTTATCTTCATGTCGTTACCATTTTCGTGAGTACAACTATCATATTGAAGAACGGTCCTTTATGCCTTTTTGACAAATTAAAAAATGAGCCTGGTCCTCTTTCATTTTTATTTTTTTTAATTTGCACATTGAGAACAACTTTTATTGTCTTGTACTCTGTTTGTCTTTCAACACGACAATTCAATAAAGGGCCTCCAGTATTTCGGAATTTCTCAGTTGTCAGAAGCTCTTTTTCCCTTTCTCTCTCTCTCTCTCCCTCCCTCTCTATTTTGTTATATTCCAGAATTTCCGTTTTCTTTTTCATAAATGAAAAGAAAAAAAACTTGTTATATTAGATGTTTAGCTTTCAAAGCTCTTGTTATTCACGATGATTAAAAACTTTTTTTTTTTCGCAAATGATCACATTTCCTCATAACACTCTTCTACCTTTAGCTTTTCCCGGTTTATGCTGTAGTCCTCCTTCTCTCTTTATCTCTCTTTTACTTCTTCTCTCCATTTCTCTTTCATTCTCACACTCTACCACTCATCCCTCTTTTGTATTCCATTTTCGAACGAGAAAAAAAAGAAGCTGCTTGATTGAATAGAAACGAGCATGGCTACTTCTCAATTTTCAGAGGCATTTTTCTGTGACCGTTTGTCGAAATAGCTTCTAAAATTACCTTCGATCACAACAAAGCTTTTGCAACATTTAAACAAGCTTTCCATTATGTAAATTCATCTCTTTGTGCAGTTTTCATTTCACTTTTCCCTTCCAAACGAAAATGTCTCTCTCCTCATGTGTTGATGCATCTAAAGGAGAAGAGGGAATAAGATGAAAAACTAAAAAAACCCGAAGAAGTTATTGATTCGTCTTATGAGCTACTCATGAGCTTTAAAGCAAATCTGTTTCTTTAATTAATTGCCTTCTTCAATATCTATGTGTACATATATATTTATAAATATATAAAAAAGAAATATTTTGTTTCCTCCCTCTCTCTCTCTCTTTCTCTTCTTTTGTTCAAACAAAGCTTCTTAGGAATTCATAGGCTGCCAACTTTTGACACATTGCTCATCCTTTTTTGTGTCTCCGTTATAGTAACTGATTGAAGAAAACATGCTAAATGACCAAATATGAGAATATGCTGGAGAGCCTTATGCCTGACACACAATATGCTCCACTACGTCATCAAGATTTCCAGCTTAATCTCTTCTTGTCTTCATTTTGCTTTCTTGACTCTCTCTCTCTCTCTTTTCGTTTCTAACTGCCTATGTAGATTGCTTCATCTCCATCCATTCCTTCACTACTCTCCTCTCCACCAGAGTCCCTTCTTGGAAGAAAATTTGTAATTTTCTTCAATTTTTGTTACATTCAAATGTGAAAAATGTTTGAAAAGCTTAAGCAAATCTCAATAACAACCCAAAACCTTTATTCTTCTTATAAATTTTATGCTTTGCCTTTGAGCAATAAACTAATTTATATGATATAATATTTCTTAACTGACTTGTTTATCTCTTACCTCTCTCTCCTATTCTCTCACTCTTTTCATCCTCAACGAGCTATCGAGGCTTGGTGGTTGCCTTGACGATTCAGAAATAGTTGTCACAACTTTTCATTCAAATAGTATCAAGCATTCTGCATTTTTAATATTTTTTTTCTTCAGCCAGCTTCAACCTTTTCCATCTCAATACCTCCTCCCTTTTAGTTCGTCATGTTTAAAAATGTCCTTTTGTGGTCAATCCACATCTCTCTTTCTTACATATGCCAAGGCTCAACGTTATCGGTGTGTTAGAACATAATTGAATTTTTCGTTCGCAACTTAAATACATTATTGAACATGGAAAACGAGCGTTATCTCTCTCTTTCCCTCCTTCCATCTGTTTCTCTATCTCTCTCTCACTTACTATTACACTTTACTTTTTTTGTTCCTTTTTTGTTCTGTTTCTCTATTGAACAGAATGGAGAGAAGAGACTCAGAAATTTAGAAGAAAATCAGAGTCTCAGCTCACCGTGTTCGATTGGAAGCTTCGTTCGCTTCAAGTCCTTAGACTTTTTGTCCTTTTTCTTGTTTTCTTCATATTCTTCTCCTTCGTACTCTTTCTCTCTTCCGCCATATTTCAATTGACGATTTTTTCAGGTTTTCTTGTTTTGTTTTACTACGAAAAGCACAACGTCTTCGACTTTATCCACAAAAATGGTCTCATACACATTTTCCGCTTTCCTAATTGTTCTTCTCGGAGTATGTTCGGCTTTGCCAATGGAACAGACTGATGACCAAGCTGAATTCGAACAAGAGTAAGTTTTGTGAAGGAAAAAGATAAATTAGAAAATAGTTTTAAATAAAAAAAATCTTAAAAGCTTTTTGACGTAAATTATCAATTAACTTTCAGAAATGTCCTAACTCTCAGAGATCGTACTAGAGATTGCGAAGAGTTCACTGCCCTATCCATGGACAAGACTAACCCCAACTACTGTGTGGTCAGTTTCATGAACCATCAAATTAATTTTTTTTTCCATTTTCTTTGAAATTGAAAATGGTTTTGATTGCATTCTATTTCAATCATCTTCATCGTCATTTTTAATATTAAAAAAATTGAATTTTAATGAAATTTTTTTTCCAAATAGAAATCCTTCAGATTTTCTCGGCCTGTTGCAACATGAACTTTGACCCCTTGAACGGAGATAAATGTCAATCGAAGGAAGTGAAATGCGTAAGTTTTTAAAAATCATATTTCAAACATATAGAACTTGTTTTAATGTTGTTTTTCAGGATGAAGACGTCTCTGTTTGTGTCTGGCGTAACTGTACTGAGCTTATCACCACAACCACAACGACTACCTTGGCTCCAACAACTACCCAATCAGGTATGTAAATTTGTTTTCTTTTCTCTTGTTTTTCTCCTTCTGACAAACAACAACAGAGAAATGGAATGTAATGAGGAGTCGTTCATGGCCCTGTATGAGAGTAAAATGTGTTTTTCATAAGAAATTCATCTGAGCTATTGTCATGTAAATGATGTGTCAGTCCATATTAGGATATGTGATGATTGTTACTAATGATGTTTCTTATGGGACGAAGAAAAGGAGTAAAAAATGGCAAGTCAAGACAGATGTTAAGCTTCTCGTGTTAGTTTTATGACATCTGAAGACGTATGTCATAGCTCCTCATTTCCATATAAATATAAATATATATATATATTGACGAGATACTTATAAGCTGGATGCGAGTGAGCGTGCTGAAGCTTCTTACAAGTTCATCAGCTCTTACCTCAAACTTTCATCAAGCATTGTGCTTACGTCAAGATGCCTCCAGGATATGTCTTTCGATTTCTAGTGAAAATGAATAAAATGAAAGGAAAGAGCTGAAGAGTGTCATCTTGCTTGCCTTTTAGTTATTTAATTGGCTACTCAATGCACATTGATCTCATCTGTCTTCTTTCTTGTCCCATGAGAGATCTCAATTCCGGCATGCTCATGCGCATTCTCTCATTCCCTCAGGGCGTTTCTCGGACACCTATTTAAATATGGAATTAGGTTGTTGATGAAGATGTGATCAAGATGTAATGGATGACACAATTCACAAACGACTTCAGACAATTTGAGCAAACAAAACACTTCTTGAACGTTATCCCATGTTTGAACGTGTTAAGAAGGAAGCTGTATATCTCCTGATTCTGAGAATCGATGGCAAACAAGTTCTTTCTTGGAATTTCTCTAGGCTTAATAAGCTTTATCTACAAAACAGAAATATAATAATGTACTTTGTATTATTCGATTCATAGCAAAGTCGTTGAGCTATTGCTTGACTGCTTGTCTGGGATTCTCTTGTCTGTCATTGCAAGAAAAACGAATTCTCCATGTGCCAGATTACTATTCGATAGAATAATAACAACCCAGAATTATGCTTATTTGGTTTCATTTAGTGGTTAGTCGGAAGTTGGATGATCTTATCTCCATTTTTTCACTTTTCCTTAATTCCATTTATAAAAGAGCATGTTCTTTGGTTTTTATTTTAATGAAATAGTTTCTGATGAACGAGAGAATGAGAGATCGAGAGATGAAGAGAGAGAGAGAGAGAGAGACATGAATATATCCATCCCGAAAGTTGTACGAATGAAGACAATTGTCTCATCGTTACCATCAAAGAGCAAAGAAGAATAGAAGAGATCTGGTAATATGGATCATTTCATTTCCTTTTGCTTCGCGCTCATCTCAGAATGCTGATTAGGATCGTTTAATTATGCCCAAAGATGGCTTAGCCAACAGGAAAGTAAAGGACCGACACACCAAATGGCAAATGCAATTGAGACGGCTCATTCGATGTAATCGAGGTCAAATTAAAGCTTTCCACACCATCATCAGCTTCTTAGTCCGCAGTTAAAAACATAAAATGCGGCCTTCTGTCTGCGCTTTGTGTGATTCAGAATCTAAACTACGAAACACATAGCGGACTGTTATTGTTTGTGTTAGAGCTATGTGACGGCGATGCAACTATCGAAGACACGTAAGAAAATGGGGGTTGAGGGACAGAGTTGAGAATCCAAATGAATGGAACATTTGGTTGCAAACAAACAACCGACTCTATCATTTCTTACTAATTCAATTAAGAACTCCAATGCTTACATATACATTTCCTTCTATAAAATTGAATGCGATCCAGTGACTGATGGAGAAAACTATGTCTCAAAACCTAAAATTAGCCTTCTGCTGCATATAGGGCAAGCATTTACCCAAGAAAATCGCTGGTTCCGGGTCATAAGAGTCCAACGTTGTAATTTGAATCTATTATTAAACATTTTTTGCTTTCTATCAATGAGAAAATGGTAAATTAGCTAATGATGTAAGATTGACCATACGACCGTACAGACTTCATTAATGAGATCGTTAGATGGAGCAATACGAATGTATGTATGTGCCTGTCTCACCTGCTTTCCCTCTTCTTTGCTAATCTTGTTTAATCATCATGATTAACGGATTTTTTTCTCTTTTTTTTTTGTTGGACCTCTTGTGATTCAAAATTAGATGTTTGAGTTAGATGCTTTTAACCGATACAACCTATAACAGCAAAATGACAGGTGTTATTCAGAAGATAATTTGTTCAGATTAGTGATGAGCGGCAGACTGCGGTCAGGCGGATAAGCTCTTCCAACTGTCCAGGTGTTCTTTTCTCCTTTTTTGAGCTCCACAGTCTGTTCACTCAATCTCTAAACGATCTACTATTATGAAACGCTCCAAAATCTCATGTGTATTAATCTCTTTGGAGATAATTATTTTGGTAGAGAGAAAGAGACAAGGCGATAAAAAAAAAGACATTGGGATGCCTATTTAGCGCGATAGTGAATATCGCGTTCATCAGCAGGGGATCAGATCATCGGCACAGATCTGAACATTACTTATTATAGTTCATCATTATACCATAAATGTAAAATACTTTGAGGGATAGTATATTGTATAAGATTAGAGAAATATTGAATGAAACAAAGGTTCCTCAGAGACGTCTATTCAAAAGTAGCTAATTAGCATATGACATTCACGTGAACGTAACGTGGATCCCGCATCAACATTCCATTTCTCAATTTCACGCGCTCAAATTGGTTGTCTTCAGACTTTCATACAATAGTTTCCAAATCCTTTCTAATTATTTTCATTTTCAGCCTCCAGCTTCGGATTATCTTTAGCAGTTTTGGGAGCTTTCTTCGTCCTCAACTAAATGCATCAGGTACTTTCGTTCAAACTTTTTTCATAAGCATATTATTGATTCATATCTTGAATATTCATTGAGAATAGAATATTTTGGATGATCCGGTTTGCTCATTTGGGCTTTCAAGCTTTCTGAGATTCAGTGAGATCGCCCATGAAAGTATAAAGGAACATAAGCGAATGAAACTAACGTATGTGTGTGTTTGAGTTATAGAGAGAGATGAAGTAATAGAGAACATGGAGAGGTTCAGAGAGAGAGAAGAGAAATAAGTGAACGAGAAAAGTGTGAAAGGGTTTTGACGAGGGAAGTGGTCGACACGCGACCATCTGGCACCTTTGGCCTCCTCAGATGGCCTACTCAAGTTGAAGTCACACGGTTCCTGCGTTCCATACTTCGTATGTTTCATCTGAAACAATTCTAAACAACAATAGGAAGTAGTCAAGTGAAAGGCTTCAAAAGTACTAGAAACATATGAATTTACTTCAACTAGTGTCTGGCCTCTTATGAACTTCTCATGAATTTGTCTGAGAACAATTAAATTTGCATAAATGTTTATTAGATGGAACTCTCTATTCATTAAAAGAGATAATTCATACAAAAGAGTAAACATAAGTGCTTGAGGCTTAAAAAACTTCATTTCATCAGTTGGGAATATTCCAAAAATGGAAAAAAACATTCACCCCAACTGTCTTGCGCTGCTTGACCACAAAGGTGGCGGTTAATTGAGTGAAAAGCGTGTGCAGATTATCCTGCACTTAACTTTTGTTTGTCAAAAGTACAAAAATGAGGTGTTGATTTCATTTATTTTTCTTAGACAAACAGATGAAAAGCGTTTGACCTTGAGGAAGAGCTTTGATATACCTAATTTGGGCATTAAAGGCCGCACATTGCGTAATGTATAGCCATTTCCTCTCTCCATATGTTTTGGTAGGCATGATGAGTAATATGAATCATCATTCACCCATCTTACGTCTGCTAACACAAATTGTGTTTTTTTCATAAAAAATTCATGTGTTATTGGAGAAGTTAGAAAGGTCAGAATAGAGCTTGAAACATCTGAGAAGACAATTGGTTGTCTCGAAACGAATATCTGCATCTGTCCAACTGTATTTAGTTACTTGAAAACATACACAAAAATGGTCACAAAAATGTTGTTCAAAAGATTAGCAAATTGGACCGTCTGTTATATTAATTATTACAAATATATTCTCTCTTTGATTCGAATATATGACATTCAATTCATCTATAAACATATATGGCTTTGTATATTTGTTTCTTTTCAGCTCTACTATCTTGCGCACCATCCACCATACCATCCAGAACGATTAAGTTGTTTCCCGCCACCTACGGATATGAAAACATTCAACTTCAAAACCTTTTAATTAAGAAAAAGAAATTTTAATTGACAGTGTATTTTCCACGACTAATATTCTCACAAAACCTCCAATGTTCATTTGAATTCCTTATAAATTCTTTTTCATTTTTTTAATTTCTCTTTTTCCCTCTCTTTCTCTAATTCTCTATTTCCTTCCTTCTCTCTCTCTCTCTCTCCGCTTACTGCCCGTGATCTTTTCTTTTGACGATTTAATATATCTGAAAGTCAGTTTAATCTTGCATTAAGCTTAATCCAAATAGTTTATTTATATTTTTATTTCCATTTTCATTAAAAATGGAAAAAAATTTCTTGCTTGTCCATCTTTTTCCAATCAATTATCTATTCGCTCATTATTATACTTTTGTATTTTATATTGTTTAAAATGATAATATGAATGAATTGTTCATCTGATTGCTCTTTCAATAAATATTCGAATTATGAGAAAATTCTATAAAAGATGTATAAGGAAGTACCTTGAGACAGTCTGTCTGGACAGACTAAGGTCGAGTCAATCATAAAACTCTTAAAAATCTCAACATAGTCATAGATGTGCCTCAGGTATTCTATAACTCTTCTTTTTTCCTAAAGATAAAAGAATAATCAGGAAAAAGAGTGTTTTTAATTATATGTCGGGTGTTGTAAAGGATGACAGATAACGCGAAGGTAAGAAAGATCGCCATGTCCGTGTTGATCATTTCTCTTTTGGTTATGCCGGCAACCAATCATCTTCGCTTTCCTTATCTTCCTTTCATCCGTTCTCTTTTTCAAAAAATAAATATAACCATAAATTTACTTTATTAAAATGGCATTGGCAGAATATAAAACTCTTTATTAGGGGATATGTTAATATATTTACAATTTAATTAAATTCTCTTTGAAATCAATCTATAACTGACGGTAAGTATAACAAGAGATGTCAGCCTTTGTTTCTTGACAGTACAGTTCCGTGTTGGTAACGTAACTGAAATAGTGAAGTGATGAGAATTCGTTTCAACAACACTCTGGTGTTATCAACATTTTTTTTATTCTTTTCCATGCAACCGTCTCACGCGAATGCAAAATGTTAAATAAAGTACAGAAAATAGCTGTTCAGAGGTTACGTGGAAAGTACGTGAGCAACGTCTCTGGTTTTTATCGATTTTTGACGGTTCGCGTATGTTCCGGACAGTTCAATGAACTCAGCGGACAATATTTGAAATGCTGAGATTAATTTACCTGAAATCTCCGTTGGCGCAAATAACGTCGAATCTTCCTCCGAATTGAGCTTCGGCAGCGAGTTGAATTAAACGTTTTGAGCTGTTGAGGTTATTGTCCATGTTCTATAAATGAATATATAGTATGGCAGAAGTGTTATGTAACTCACTTCGAGCATAAGGTTACGTAAGTCATCAGAATTGCAGAGTGGATCGTCAGTAATCTTCAATTCGCTGATGTCAACAATCTTTTCCTCAGTTTGTTCAGAGCCTTCCTCAGAATCCTAGGAAGCAATTCAATTAGAGGAATTAGCATTAGAACATGCCTTATCTTCCTGCTTTTCTTGTACACTATCTTCAACCTCAGTATGTTCTTCCTCAACTACTTCAGCGTTTTTGGAAGCAGCTGCAGCAGAAGCAGCAGCAGCAGGTCCAGCCTAAAGTGATTGCGTGAATAATGACAAATTCTTATGTGCTAAGATGCTAAGATTGGTAAGCTGATGAAGAGAACAAAGATGATAAGCAACCTTTTGAACTGAGCTTTCCAGTTTGAGTTTATGAAAGTGATTAATGTAAAGCTACTTCCTAATGCCTGTTAGAGAAATTTCAAATTATCTCAATAGAAAGACAAGCAAAAAAACAGACACGAGAGAAGAATAAAAAAAAATATTTTTAATAGAACAGGTTTTATAATCCCATTCTCGTAGATATTTCTGGATATCTCTAAGCTAAGAGATATGAAAGAACATCATGCTACTTAGGCAATAGCTTTCTTTATCTTTAAATTATCTTATCTTATGATTGTCTCCAACAGTTTCAATTGTGAGTTTCGAAAAAAAATTAAAAAATTAAAACATACATATGAAGGATTAGCGGCGATCTGTTGAATTTCACTCTGAACGACCTCTACTTGTTGTTGAGTCTGGAAAGATGTCATTCACTTATAGTATTTGAAATGTGAAAGCTCTAGTGTTCTATATGAAGATTGTTTTATAAACCTTAACATATGGTGCTTCTTGTACAATGTGTGTTACTTGAACTTGCTGTGGTTGTTGCGGTGCAGGTTGTTGGTGATGAATAGGAGCTGGATGTGGTTCATAAGCGTTATCAACATTTTGAAGTTGTGCAGGAGCAACTTGCTGTAGAATAAATTAAATAGATCGTGTTTCCGACAAGGTTTCGTTTCTACTTCGGCAAGGCTCTAGTTTGTGCAAAAGACGTGATTGTTAGAATATGAAAGGATCGAAGGTAGAAGTAATGCAAATGTTAGTTAGTTTGGCTTTGTTAATATATTATTCCATTAATTGACTTACTTGAGCATAACTTGATTGTGGTTGTGGTTGTGGAGGTGGTGGAGGTGGTGGGATGTATTGTGCTTGTGGTTGCTGATACTGTCCTACCGATTGTGGTTGTTGATATTGGGGTTGGAATTGGAATTGAGGTGGTTGGGCATATCCTACTTGTGGCTGAGAATAACCACAACCCTGAGAAGCTTGGCATGGAGCGGCTAAACGATTAGAATTTAATAAACGATTTCTTATATGTTGATTCACGTTGAGAACAGACTGGGGCTGGTGGTGGTGGGGGACATGCTGGTGGAGCAGAGCATCCACATCCAGACGAACTTCCGAAGAAGAAAGCACTTGATAAGGCTGGAAGAGCAGCAACAACGAGAACAGTGGATAAAACCTTCATCTGGAAAATAAAGAAGAAGAGTATGCGGCCACGAGTGATGGGAAATAAACTGAGAATGGAAGATGTTCGCACTATAAAGTAAGAGTTAATCGAGTGAGATGATTGGACACGGATATAGAATAACTTGTGGATTTGCAACTTCGTGTTTCTTGATAAAAGAAACAAGCATTTGATAGACAATAAATGATTTATGCGTTATCTCGCAATTAGAGATTTGAAAAATAGAGATTAGGCATAGCCAGAAGCTGACTGTTGAAGATGTGTAACTAGTTTGATTATATGTATGTAGAAGTAATGTCTACGACACTCCTTCTAAAGAATATAATGTAATACGTAATTTGAATGAATAAGCTGAAGATGACGAGGCTTTTTTTTGGTAAATTGCAAAAGTTCTATACTATTCTTTCAAGTTGTCGCGGAGAGCGTGTGAGAAATGAAAAAAACAGTTAAAAACGTCTTCAGTTTCAAAGTGTTGAGGACAATTTTACGATGACAGGTTTCAAGTAGGTTATCCATGTAAGGGGTAGAGGAAGAGAAAGGATTTATGAAGATACAGTTACATCCAGCTCTGGCATTGGAAGTATTGAAGAAAACAAAAGAAGAAGTTCAAACGTCTGCACACATTAACAGCAGCTTTTTCACCTGACAGCTCAATGTGACCAAATGCAATTTGAAAATGAATGAATTTGGCAAAGGTCTGACCGCTTAAAAGGAACTTTCTACCTGGACTCTTTTGTCTTCTTATCCGCCTCTTTCACTCATCATTTCCTTTTCTCGCTTTCTCAAGCGGAAGATGAAGCACGAACTTGAGCTATCTAGCCTGTATCTCTCAAGATTCTTTTTCTTTTCGTGTTTCGCTTTTATCAAATTTTCACATCGTTTCCATCAATTCGACCTGTCTTGCTGAATACAGGATGCGTCACCTAGACCTCCGAACTTTCTCTCATGAATCGCTCTAAGAAACTCTATTATCTGACCCGATCTCTCATGCGGTCAGGGTAGGCCACCAAGACATTTGTCAGCTAGCTTTACCTGACGCTTAGCACTCTGAGATCTGGAAACAATAATGAAGAAGAACGGAGATAAAGAAATTAAGTGAAAAGAAGAGAAAGCATGACTTTCCAACCAAATTTTCGAGATTGCCTTCCTAAGTTTTCTTGAATTTCGCTTTAGCTTGAATTCAGGTTTGAAACTTCAAAATCTCAAGTTATTGAAATTCCTTTGTGATGAGAATTGAATTTCGTTCAGAATTCTGCGATCATAAATCTATTCGATCGGCTAAATTAGTTCAAACTATTCAAACTTGCAACTTTCCATGATTTTTGTGATCATCATTCATTAGCAGACAGATTTCAAGGCTTTCAATACGGAAAAAAAACAAATCTGTCAACTCTTCAGCTTTTCCTTCCGTTCAAATTTTTTTTTGTTGCGTATAGCCAATTGCTGTTGAATGCAAGATTATAGTTGCTTTCAAAGACTTTCTATTATTCTCGAAGATGTTTTGTCAGTCTGTTGAAAGGAAAACTTGATAACTTATTAGTCTTCTGCGAATCTGAAATGGATATGGAAAGCTTGATTGTTAAACGAGAAACCATTGAATGAAAATATCTTATAAATTGCTTTTGATAGATACGATGTTACAAGATGTTGAATAGAAACAGTTTATTAATATAATCCTAATATGGATGATCTTGCATAGGATTACCATTGCATCTACATCTCAGATTATCAAGCGAACAAGTGTTATGGAACGTGAAGAAAGAAGGACTTGGTGACATCTACTGGTATGGTATCAAGTCATTCGGAGTAACAGGCACTATGTTTTTGCCATAATTGGAGTATAAAGACGATTTTGCTTCTTCGTTGTCCATGCCATAGCCAGATTGTTCAATCTATAGCAAAAGAGATTATGAAAATGAAATTGAAACTTGGATAAACCGTATTTCCTGAACTATATGATGATTTGATATTTCCATTCTTCTTCACCATGTCAGCTTGAACTGGACCGATTTCTTTAGCAGCCCAACCAGGACGGCTGATGGCGGGAGAACTCGGATTCATGTTCATCTTCAAAAAATTTGTGGTTCTATTGGAGTTTATCAAAAGGTTCTACCTCAATTAAACGAAGAAGTTCTGCATACGATTGAGGTCTATTCCTGGGCATAAGCTGTTCCAAGTTCTGAAAAGTATAGGTTTCTTTAAGTTTCAAGCTTTCAAATATAACCTGAGGACTAATTTCGTCATTATTGGCTTTGCTTCCATCTCCGTTATTTATTCGTCGAACTGATAACTCAAGTTTTGTCTTGCCGTATTTGTCACCATGGTTAGTAAGAGTAAACTCATAGTCATCTACTTGGAATCGCTGAACAGCCCCTTCTTCCACATGTAGGACAGTCGATGAAACACTTGAATACCCTTTACCACCTTTTGAACCAGAGCTTCCACCTGAACCATAAGATCCAGATTCGCTATCAGTTCCGTATGATCCTGAACCATTTTCAGTTCCATAAGAGGCAGTAGTGGTACTGCCAGATCCAGAACCATATGATCCAACGCCATTGCCAGATCCGTACGATCCTGATCCATTATCTGTTCCGTGGGATTTAGTGGTTGTGCTGCCAGATCCTGAACCATACGAACCAGACCCGTTGTCT